TCTGAATTTACCTTAAAATAAAAACATCTATATTGATTCTGACTTTTCTACATCCAACTCACAGGTTTATCATTGCTTTGAGAAAAAAGATGATTAATTTACCCCTTTTAGAAGTGAAGACATAGTCAATTGTTCTGGGAATTTCATTTTCGAGTCTGAGACTTGAAAAACAGGCTCAGGGCTTAACAGCTTAAAGACTAGTGATTTCTACTTTTTTTTTTGAAGAGGAAGAGTAAATCAAAATCGACTGTTTGTTTTCTCTAATCTGCAGTCGGGTAGAGTTGAAGAGGCTGTGTGAAATCTTCACCAGGATGTTTGCAGACCCCCACAGTAAGGTATGAGTGCAACCAGCGTACACACCATTCACACAAACATCATTCACTCATTTACATAACATGCCAAACACATTCATAATTCACCCACTTTTATTTTACTTTTCCCCACCATCCTTCACTGTACCGGATTCTGCCAAAACAAACACAAAGACATGTTGTAAACAGACACGCTTTAGCACTCATGAATTATAAACAAAGTATTCAGGATAAGATAAAAACAGGATAATCAGGTTAAAGAGTATTCTCAGCTGCACACACACCTTCACACTCAAACATAATGAAAGGCATGTAGAGTGTGCGACGGACTGTTTTCTAACGGCATGCCACGCCTGAGTTTGCGTGTGACCTCACTCTCCGCCGCCCTGTGGGATTGCTCTGTCACTGTCCAGCAGCGTCGGCTGTGCTCACTGCATTCACTGCCCCCCCGCTCTGTTCCCCCTCGCTGCAATCTGAAGTGACGACACTGACCGCACACACACTCAGACGAGCAGCTTTGTGGGCTGCCGGCTCTCCTCTCTCACTAACCAGCTGCGTTTCGCCCTCTCTAACACTGCCACGTTTCTCCCGGCGTTATTGAGTGCCACACATGTCGTAAGGTGTGTGAGCCCCTCAGCTACCCGCTCATTTGACGTTTGACGATTTGATGAATTTCAGCGAAACTCCGGCAGAGTGTACGGCACGGCAGAATCCGGTATAAGCTCAGCCTCCTTCAAGGTACTGCATCTCACCATGGAGCCCTCTCATGCCTTCATCTATCCATCCAACACCTTTCCTTCTCTCTCATCTCCATCGTTTTTCAACATTGTTCAATATTCTTTTCAAGTGTGCACAAAACAGCACTTTCTTTTTTTTTAAATAATGTTGCTCATGTTTTTTTGACTCTTTTTCCATGTAGCAAATGTTCAACAGAAAGTCAGGATGTTGAGCGTACACACACACACACTGAGTTTATTCAGGTATCTGATGCTAACAGATGTGTCTCTCTCTCCCCCATGCCTCCTCCCTCTGGAACTCTCTGTAGAGAGTAAGTTTGTCCGATCAGTGTTCCTGTGTTTTTAGTTTGTTTGGATGAAAGCTCACTCACTAACCTACCTCACTGTCTGAAATCAACCACTGGCATGTAGCCATGGTGACAACATGGTCAGATCGGAAAACCCTTGTCAAGTCTAATATTTTCTAATATTATTAATATTGTTAATCATTTGGGTGATTAAAAGGGAATACTTCACCCCAAAATGATTATTTTCAATAACTACTAACATCGTGCTACCAAAATGTTACTTCAACACATGCCTCTGCAGTGAATGAAAAATCCCAAAACAATAAACTCTTGATGAATTTAAGCAAATGGATGCAACGTTTCATAACAAAATTATATCAAAACCAGGGCTGCACGATATTGGAAAAAACTGGCATTGCGATTTTTTTCCCCCCTGTGATATGGAGAAATACAGGAATTGAAGAACAGACAGGTTTTTTTGTCCGCAAACCATCCTTTCTTAAACGTTAATGCTATACAATTGGTATTTTTCTAACTATATTTAACCGGATGAAGGATTTTAGTCACGGACGTCTGGATCTTAAGTTATCAGAGCAACAAGCTGAACTAGCTCGGTTAGCAGCGCCAAACTGCCCTGGAGAAACACATGAAACTACTTCATTCAGTGTTTTTACCTTTAATCACCGGGTCCGTTTGTTTTGGAGATTTGATTGTGATTGGTGGTTTGGGGTGCATGCAGAGCCTGCATGTCACTCACTCAAGCACCCCTGACATGAGAGCCGCGCGAGTTTTCCTTTTGTAGCAAGCAGCAAAAGAATTGTAACATGACATGTTTGAGTTAGTTCGCCTACTTAATATCGCACGTCCTAAAAAAATATATATATATTTTTTTAAAAATCACACGTCCTTCGATGTGAATATCACGATTATCGTCACGACACAATATATCGTGCAGCCCTAATCAAAACATCCCTTTACACTTTCCATAAACAGTCTCATGCTTCGACAGTGAGACTGAGAATGCTTGATATAGTTTTGCTGTTTTTATGTTTTGTTTTTTTGTATGTATCACATTATTATTTTACCATGGAGGAGGTTGGTAATTGATAAACAAACTATTTAGGGATGAAGTATTCCTTTATTTTTTAAATACTAATTGGTGATTGTGGGATCAAGTCGTGCTGCAATAATGAGTGAATAACCACTAACTTCACTACGGGAACTAATGCTACTCTCACATGATACTTTCTAAGCATAACCCTCCTGTGTCCTGTCATTACTTGCATGAAACATGTGAATTAATGAGTGTGTGAGTCGCTGTGTGACCAAAACTGTTGTGTGTCCGGTTTTTAGGTCTTCAGTATGTTCCTGGAGACACTGGTAGATTTCATCCTGGTTCATAAGGAGGATCTGCAGGACTGGCTGTTCGTCCTGCTCACACAGCTTCTGAAGAAGATGGGAGCGGACCTGCTGGGTTCTGTTCAGGCCAAAGTCCAGAGAGCGCTGGACATCACACGGTGGGTGAAACACTGACGACTGACATGAGAAAACAGGAGTAGACCCATGGGTAACATACGTTTATGTATAGAATAAAATGGTATTTAAACATGGAGGCTCCACCCCTCCTTTCAGTCTCTCAAATATGTAGATTTCAGTTTGAAATCACATTACTATTAAGATCGTTTTGAACTGACAAATCACGACATTTATAAACATCTGCTTGGACTTAACTAGGATGGACATTTTTCACTATTTAGAGACCGAGTGTTCAATAGATTCATCGCAAAAAAATATCTGGGGATTCATTTTTAGTTGCAGCCTAACTAACATACTTTTTAATCACATCGCTTGAAAACAAAGGTGCAGTTGAAATCTCAGAAAAAGCTTCTTGTACTTGATTATTTGTTACACATATAAAATAACATGTGAGGATCTATTTTGTCCGCTGTTGTTACACATACATAAAGAGAAATTATAACATACACATTATTTAACTCAAAGTGTCTCTCCAGGTTATTATATTTTACTGTGTTGCTAAAATAGTCAAAGGTCCTTTACTCTTGAGATGTGTTTGTGTGTGTGCTGATTTAATGTGGATTTGTTTTCCCCCTGTTTCAGAGACTCGTTCCCCAATGACCTGCAGTTCACTATTCTCATGAGGTTCACTGTGGACCAGACACAGACGCCAAACCTCAAGGTAGATCACATGTTCATTTACTCTGTGTGTCTGCGTTATGATGAGAGAGAGATGAGTGTGTGAAGGTTTGAGTCAGGGAGGGGTGAGAGGACCTCAGGGACTATGTGTAACCATGGTAACTGCTGTACTGATATGACCTCACTATGCCTGACTGAAACCCTGAGTCCCGGCTGTGATTGGATTTCTCTGGCCTCTCCTGGCTGGCTTGTGCTCTGCTTCATTGCGGACACTCCCTTCAAGCTTCCCTCCTCTAACTCCTTGTTTCCTCACTAACCCTCACCTTTGCCCCATCTCCTTACCTACCCCTCAAGATGTGCTACTTACATTAAAAAATTTCATTACATTACATTGCATTTAGCTAATGCTTTTATCCAAAGCGACTTACAATAAGTGCGTTCCACCAACAAAGTACAAACTTGAAGAAAACAGAATCATATAAGTACATCAGGTTTCATAGAGCTAAAACATTTCAAGTGCTACTCAACTGGCTTTAGATAAGCTAGTCCTACTTCTACTTTCCCTGCTGTCATCACCTTTTATCTCTCTATTGCTGCGGCCCCTCCCATCCGTTCCTGCCTGATATTAAACCCCTTTCTCACAACCTTTTTTATTCCTTTTAAGTCTTTCTTCCCTTTGTCATCCAACTAAACGTGGGCAATGAAAGATATTATAAGCCTCTCAATTCACTGAAACATATGATAGACTAAACTTTTATAATAGACTAAACTTTTATTTGACTTAGCATATTTTTACTCCTGTCATTCTAGAGGTAGCATGTTGTTTCTCATTTCTCATTTGTCAGCGGTTGTTTTTGTAGTGACAAATGTAATGCAGTAAAAACAACTTAAAGCACAGTTATTCTTTGGCCTGAATAAACTCTATAGTTAAAAAAACATTGTTCTCACACTAAATTCTCCAACGGGTCATGACGTGACCTTACAGCTAACAAAATCTGACTAGGCGGCGTAATATGAAGACGTATGCAGTGAGACGTTAGAAATAGCTTTGAAGGTTTTGCAAATCAATGTGGCAATCTTGGATTTTCCGGGGTTTTTCCTACGTGATGCAATTCACTGGACAGAATTCAATAGAATTTCCAGAAAAATATATGACTATTGCACAATATAAATACGAAAAGGAACGTTAAACATAAACACACTGCCTGAGGTGTCTTTCCTTGCAACTCTGATAAATGACTGCATCATGCAGTGCGATCATGTTAATATAATATAATGTTTCAGCAGCACAGCAGTCATTATCCATCTCATAAACTGATGCATGAAGTCTCATGGACCGCTGGTTGTGTTTTTTAAATTGGCATCACAGCGCTTTACTGCCATCATGTGGCCTAAACAATGAAATTGTGTTTTGCCAGATTTTCAGATGATACAATTTCAATATAGCCTCCCTTCCAATCGTATTACTCTTAAACTCTCTGCACCCTCCCTACACTTCCCTTCCTCTCTTGTCTCCCCCTCCCTTGTCCTCGTCTCCCTTTCTCTCTCCGTTGATTGACGCGGTGCTTCTCCTCTTTCTCTCTGAAGCCTGTGCGGAGCTCGTGTTGCGGGCGAGGGCGAGGCAGGGGAGGGGCCGAGGTTAGATTGTTCCCCCCCAGAGCGCGGCGCCACGCCTGCTCTCTAGACGAGCAGGCTGCAGCCTGGAGCCAGTCCTCCCAGGTCAGTGCGCTCCGGGGGGAGCCATTATATGGCGCGGACTTTGCTGCTAAGTGATTTGGACGAAGTTTCTGGTCCTTGAGGTGCATAAGGAGAGAGATGGAGGAAACTCAGGAGTCAGTTGATGCGTTTCAGAGCGTGCAGTGAATCTTTGCATTTATTAAATCCTTTGTTTTGTCATCGCTTTAATTTCATTGATTTGTTTTCCCACGTCATAAAGCATGACCATTATGCACATTGCCCTTCTCACTGATTCATCAGATTATTTGATTTTTTCAGACCTGCAAGAGAAGCTGTCGCTGACTGTGAACATTCGTGCTCACTCTTTCACGCCTGTGTTTGATATTGCTGTGTTTTTGGTTTTCGCAGGTGACTTAGGGTTCATGCTTTTTCCTTGTTATCAGTCGGCTATCTAATGATATGTATGAATGCTCATTTCTGTCTTGTAGGTGAAGGTGGCGATTCTGAAGTACATCGACACGCTGACGTTACAGATGGAGGCTCCAGACTTTGTGAACTCCAGCGAGACTCGACTGGCCATCTCCCGCATCATCACCTGGACGACCGAACCCAAGAGCTCTGACGTCAGAAAGGTGCGGACTCACGGACAAAACAAGATATTATTCCAACGGTTCATTATCATGTTATTGGAAAGAATGGCCACACTTTACAGCTCAAGAGTACACACAAATATAAATATGTTAGCATATGCCCATTGTTTATGTTATTACTGTATTGCATATTAACATCTTAATGTTTTTATATTGTTTGTTTTTATAACCGGTATTGCTCCAATGTAGAGGATCCAAAACAAAATGATTTTACTCTCTTATCTTTGTATAACTGAGATGTAAAAGTATAGGAATTGTAATCTTCAAGACATGAGATTTCTAGCTGACGGATCTTTTTGTTTTGTGTGTAACAGGCAGCCCAGTCGGTGTTAATCTCGCTCTTCCAGCTCAATACTCCGGAGTTCACCATGCTGCTGGCAGCTCTGCCCAAAACCTTTCAGGACGGAGCCACCAAGCTGCTTCAAAACCATCTGAAGAACACTGGCAACGCTGCGCAGGTAACAAAGGGAGGGTTACAGACACGTGAAGTTAATCATTACACTATAACATTAATGGCTTACTTCTGTTGGCTCAAATTAACTTGGTTGGTTGTGTGTCACTTCCTCAGGCACCAATGGGCAGCCCTCTGACGCGCCACACCCCCCGGTCTCCTGCAAACTGGTCCAGCCCGGTCACATCGCCCACCAACACCTCCCAGAACACCCCCTCACCAAGGTAACACACACACACACACACACACACACACACACACACACACACACACACACACACACACACACACACACACACACTGGGACTCACTCTCAGAGG